TTGTACCCTTTGGCAGGGAAATCCTCAGCTCACCATTGAGCTACCTGCCCCAGGCTGCCCCAGCATCTCTCCTAAGAAATTAATTTGCAGAAAAATTGCCAGAGGAAAACCCTCTTAAGGGAATTACTTCAGTCACCATAGCATCCAGCCCTGTGGATGGCACACACCCTTCCACTCTCCTTGAGTGTCCATGAGTCTGTGCATGAAGCTTGCAAATCAGAATTCCTTTGTCAATTAAATTGCATTTTTTCAGTGTGTCAGGCCTTTAACTGATGGTTCAGTGTATTTTTGAGGAGCCAAAGGGATTCATGTCACTGAGATCATAAACCTTATTTTAATGACTGCAGATTTTAAGAAGTGGATGTCAAAAAGGGTAGAGAAGAAGCATTACAAAATTAATATTGAGTTAGCCAAATCTTTTTTTTTCCAGTGGCAAAAGTAGTTATCAGTGAGCAAAAGGTCGATGAGTTAAAATTAAGAATATTTCTAGTTCATTCAGGCTTTAGAGAAAATGTGTGCTTGATCCATGTAATTTGAGTGCATTTACACGCTTTCTGAAAAGCATTACATATGTATGTGGAACATACCTCTAACTGTATGCATCCAGCATGTGGATGAGTGTCTTCAAGCTCCTGAGAAGTCTTGTGATTCTGTGTACAATGGTATCGTTGTACAAAATATTTGTGTATGTCTGCATTAAGTTTTACAGCCTACTAAAATTTAATCTCTATTCTTCTGCTTAAAAATTTGCCAGTCAGAGCTCAGCTTTCTCCCAGACTGAATTCCTGTGATTGCCACCAGTTTTTCCCATTCTGTCTTCTTTTTTACTATTCAATGCTGCTTTTAATCATGTGCAACCAATAATGAGATTGAATCTTGCTGGACAGGTAGTTTGTTTCCTCTGAAGGTGGGAGAACAAGCATCAGTCCTGATCATCTGAAGTAACCTTCAACTCAGTGACTTTACTATTTTGCAGTTGAACACAGATACTTATAGATCTTTGTTGGGCACACTGAGAAGAACTGAGGTTGCCGCAGGTTTTCACACTTTAGCACCCCTAATCCATATACTCTACATTTTCCCTAGCAGTTGCTGAGAATCCTGTAGAACCCGTAGAAGTCAAACCTAACCTGAACTGGTTTAAATAGGATTTTTTTCATGAATTGGAATTTAACCTGAAGTATTCATCTCTTGTCCTATTGGTCCTGAAACAGACTGACTAAATATTTATTTAAGTCATTGGCTTAGAATAAACATTGTCCTAAAACCTGATATCCCCTAATGAGGACCTGTTGAGCGCTGTTTCTTTTCTAGTCTGGCTAAGGAGGGCTGTAACTAAAATACAGTTCCTTGGAGAAGCCAGTTTTATTTTAATGCCTGTTGTGTTGGAAACAGTTTGCTATAATAGCCAACAGCATGCTGTGAGTGCAAATAGGGCAAATCAGCCTGTCTTTCATCAATTCTGACTAGAAATACATGCATTGTGTATCCTTTGTGTTGAGGTACTTAGAGATTGATTTATGGTGAGGAGCAAATAAGCTAATGGGGCTTTTCCTGTCCTGCTTTCCCTTCCTTCCAATAATCCCCACCTCTCCTTGGAAAATTCTGCAACTCCTTATCTTCCCTGTGCAGCAAAACAACACAGTTTCTCGCTTAGCCCTTCAATACCCACTGCAGATTTAGGAAATTAGAGAAAGGGTTTTTTTTTGTGAGTGATGTACAGGATCTGGCAGAGATGCTGGAAATAGTTGTCAAAGTCAGCTGAAGAACCACCGAGTAGTCCCACCTTGGTGAGATGAGTCTTCATTTTGAATTTTTCATTTCACATGAACAGTTTAATTAACTGGTTTTGGCCTGAACAAGGAACTGAAATGGGACAATTTCACTCGGAGATAAATCTAAATCAGAACTGATTCGAAAAATGTGCAGCTTCTTGTTCTTAATCTTTGTACTACTCTGTGGAAGAAACACAGCTCTGGTGATCTGAGACTTTGGGAAGCACAGACTGCCTCTCAGCCTGTTGTGGCAATGAAATGGAGTGTGAGCTGAGGATTTACATAATCTCTTTCTAAATAGCAGTTCCGGGGCTCTTTTGCCTCAGAGACTCATGGAATTGCAGTACACAGGGAAAACTTTCTACAGCATAAAAATACAGCGTGATGTAATTCAAAATTTCAACATGATGCAAATATCCAAAGGGCAGTTGAGGCCACATGTGCAACCTTTACTTTGCAATTTCCTGGCAGCCAGAGGTTTAATTTTATAACTCTAGTCATATATACTGTTGCCATTTTTTTCCTACTGGCATTTCAAATAACTTTATCAGAAACAGGAGAAAGAGTCCCAGGCATTGCAAACCTTCAGCCCAGATCTGTGCATGGGACACATTTTTTATAGTCAGTAAACCTTGGGAAGGGAACCACTTGTTAGAATAAAGCCAGAGGTGATAAGAACAGAAAGACAGGCAAACCAACTTCCTACCCACCAATTATTTACCAGCACAACAGAATGGAGTTACTGGAATTGAAGAGAGCAAAAACCAAAGGAGGATCAGCATTAGCTGCATACTTGAGTATTTGCCACGGTTGGCTGTAGGCAACGATACATTTTTTTTTTTAAAGGAAAGTGGAAAATGCTTATTACATTTAACTGCAATATGCTGCCTGAAGAAGCTGAAAGCCATTCATCCATGCCAACGCAGACCAGCATGCTTGGCAGTATTCATGCTCATAAGGGGAGGCTCCAACACTGTCTAGAAAATTCTGTGGACTAGAGTGCACAGAAGTATATTGTAAGGAGATCTGATGTCAGCCCAGTGAATGTGTCATAACAGATCACCAGTAAGTAGCGGTGTACCCCAGGGGTCCCTACTGGGTCCATTCCTGTTCGACATATTTGTTAAATGTCTGGGTGATGGGACAGAGTGTACTCTCTAATGACACAAAACCTGGAGGAGTGGATGATACACCAGAGGGCTGTGCTGCCATCCAGAGGAACCTCGACAGGCTGGAGAAATGGGCTGATGGAAACCTCATGCGCTTCAACAAGGGGAATTGCAAAGTCCTGCACTGGGGAGGAACAACCCCAGGCATCAGTACATGCTGGGGGCTGACCCGTTGGAAAGCAGCTTTGCAGAAAAGCACCTGTGGGTCCTGATGGGCGCCAAGTTGACCATGAGCCAGCAATGTGCCCTTGTGGCAAAGAAGTCAAAAGGTATCCTGGGCTGCATTAGGAATGTTGCAGCAGGTCGAGGGAGGTGATCCTTCCACCCTATTCAGCACTGGCAAAGCCACACCTGGAGTGCTGGGTCCAGTTCTGGGGTCTCCAGTCCAAGAGGGATGTGGAGCTACTGGATAGAGTCCAGCGAAGGGCCATGAAAATGATTAAGGAACTGGAACATCTCATATATGAGGAAAGGCTGAGTGAGTTGGAACTGTTTAGCCCGGAGAAGAGAAGGCCCAGGGGGATCTCATCAATGCGTACGAATATCTGAACAGAGGCCGTAAAGAAGACAGAGTGAGGCTCTTTTCAGTGGTGCCCGGTGTCAGGACCAGAGGCAATGGGCACAAACTGAAAGACAGGAGGTTCCGTCTGAACATCAGAAACACTTTTTTTCTGTGAAGGTGATGGAGCACTGGCACAGGTTGCCCAGGAAGGTTGTGGAGTCTCCATCCTTGGAGACATTCAAAAGCTGTCTGGACATAGTCCTGTGTAACTGGCTCTAGGTAGCCCTGCTTGAGCAGGGTTTTGGACAAGATGACCTCCAGAGGTCTGTGCCAAACTCAACCATTCTGTGGTTCCGTGATTCTGTGATCATGCTTTAGACCCAAAATGTCACATTAAGCCTTGTTACAGACTTTTGCTAAAGGCGAAGCTTTGTTAACCCATCTGCAAGGAATACTTGATCATGACTGTAGTCAAAGGCTGCTAGATTTTAACCACATCAGTTCCTAGTGGGGTTGTCTACAGAAGCCTGCGTGCTTCAGTCATGTTACTCTGGTGGGTCATGTAGGATAGGTGATAACAGAAAATATATAATTGCATTCCTAAGCCATAGTAGAGAAATTCCTAGAAATAATCAGAATTTTTTTCTTTTCTGAATATCAATACAAAACATGTTCTGTGTATACTCTATGTTCTTCATCTCTGAAGATGGTATTTTTATACTATATAAATGTATCTGGTAATATAGTACTACTAAATTATCTAATAGTTTTACACAGTTCAGACATTGATTGGGTTCTGCACAGTGTGATAATGTGGTTCAAAGGCAGCCCCTTTCTTAGCACAAAGGACTCTGATGCACAAAATCCACCTGTGTCCCACTCTTCACTGGGGCTCTGTGTTGCTCCAGTTCTGTTTTGCTGAATCACTGTCTGAAGTGATGAGATGGGTGAATTCCCATGAGTGATGAAAGAAACCGAGAGGACAGTGTTATGCAGGCCAGGGAATATGCCACTGGGAGGATTCATGAGTCTAAAATCCTCAGGAAGTGCAAGAGCCCAAAACACAGGCTGTGGTGGCTGGTCATTTTTTCAACATCTCTCTTCTATAGTCTATTTAAAGCTTGTTAACCTGGGGTAAGGATTCGTAGTCAAGGTCAAGTGGAATAGCCCTTGGCACAGTATGTTAACAAGAGAAAAGGCTTTTACTTTGAGTGTGCTATTACCTACTGCTGAAGAAATAAGTGTTTGTGGTTTCTGTTGCCTAGAACCAGTTGACAGCAAAAGGTTTTATCAAAGTAATCTTAGACTGTGAGCAATATTTTTTAAAACCATTAATACAGAGTTTGTTTCTGATACACTTATTTGTAAAAAAAGAGTCCTTCTCTACTAGTATGCCACATGGAGCTTTTCATGCCTCTTTTCTTTACTGTGCAAATGAATAAGAACTGAAGTTTACATGCTAAGGCAATTTCTACTTCTACCAGCCTTTTAGTTTATGATCTGAAGCACTGATTTATTGTAAATGTGAAAAAATATGTGTAATCTCTTTCACAGCTGCAAAGGTTTTTTGACATATTCTTCAAAAGCAGTTCTCCCCAACAAGCTTTCAACAACATGAAGGAAGCTATAAGCAAACTTCTACTTATAACTGAGGTCTTCAGTGAATCATCTGCCTCAGGACCAAATTCTTTCAATCAGTAAGTGACTTGCAGTGGCCATTGCTATGCTATTGTCAAGATAGCTCCTTAGAACAGAACAAAAATTTTAGAGGATACACGACTCCTAAAATAAAAATATCCCCTCTATTTCATACTTCCTTATAGAATAAAGTGAGGATGTGCTGCATTTAGGGAGTAAAACTCTTCAATATCTACAGTGTTTCTAGTTTGCGAAAAGGTTGTGATGAATACCCAGGACCAGATGCCGTGTTCTGATGAAGTGTTTCAGGCAGTACAAATGAACAGAAATCACTCACAATTGGGCTAGTCCTAACATATATAAAGCTGTATTTCCCTTCAGTGAGCCCTCTGTCGTATATCAAATATTTAGAGTAGCCCAGATGGTTCAGAGCTGGCTGCAGCAGGCAATCTGAACAAGAGACATTGTAGAATACTTTATGAAATGTACCTTATGAAATATACCTAGGCAGCAACAGTGACTTTTCTGTGGGTGTTAAATCATTATAATCATTTCTATTTGAGTGTTACAGTTCTTACACATAAATCAACATTTATTATGTAATATTTTTATTAATTAAAATTAATATTTGTTCTATATATGTTATGTCACATCCCTGACATTTTTATGGTAAATAGTAAATAAGTTACTATTTATTACATTTATATGTTTTATAAACCTATTTGAGAACCCAGGTGTTTTAGTGGCAGTAGTATAAAGCTCATTATTTGACTTATACAAGTTGGGAATAAAGCTTACGTTGTGAGTGGAGAGGGTAGCGAGGAGGGGAGGAGTGTAACAGGGATGGAGCTATTTTGATAGTGGTCCAAACTCTAACATTTTTTATCAATGGGGTGGATATCTCCTGTTTATGTAACCCAAGATTTGCTTAGAGCTCCTAGCCCATGCCTTCAAACATCCCCATAGATGCAGCACAACTCTTTGGCTTCGATAAGCCCAGAGAGTTTCGGCATCTGTTGCCCTCCAAATGTCTTCAAAGCTTTTGCAGGACCTCATTCTCATCAAAAGGCATTTCCTTCTCCAGTGTAGTTCACCTCCCTCTCTGGTTTAAAAGTCAACCATATAAATACACTTTAATATAGCACTGTTTTCATTAGATCACAGTCTGACTCTATCTATGTTTAATGCTGCTGGCTCTTTGTAGAAATTTTATTTAGCCTGTATCGCATGTGTGTATGTTCTTGTGTATGTTTTCTGGACTAATGTATGTATGTTCTTGTGTATGTTCTCTGGACCTCTGTGTGTATGTCATTGTAGCATATATTTCACAACAGTACCTAACCTCACTGAATCTGATTCCTCTTATATTGTATTTCAGATGCAGACAATGTTTTCAAATGCTAACCTTTGACATTGGATTCGGCACCTCCATATACCCAGTAGTTCTAGAGGTGAGAAAATTACACAAATTATTGCTTTACCCAAAAAAATTACACCAAAAAGAACATAGCAGAGAACCCTCTCTGACAGTTGCCCTCAAGCCTATGAGAAATGTCCAAGTACATTAATATTAATTTTGCCCAACAGTGGAGAGTTGCTGTGGGAGAAACAAGTTTTTAAGGAACAGAGTTCCTGTGATGAAGTTCACCATAGCATTGAAGTGTGCAAACCTTTCAGTTTTAGCATTACGGGATTATCACCCCAACTGAATATCAGCTAAACAAAATCCATAGGAAGCATTGCATGCAAGCAGAGTTAGGTATTAACTGTGCCAGAATGAAGAGGAAGGGAGGAAGTTAAAATACCACAACTGGCTTTTAATGCAAGTTAAAGCTCTCCATGAGTTGCATTGTACTTCTTCAACTCACCACCTGCTTTGATCTCCACTGTGCGGCCTTCTTCTCAAGGCCCTCAAAACCAGAGAAATGTGACCTGTGGCATAAACTCCCTGTGCCAGTTTTGTACCACTCCTGCCTCAGAACAGCCTGGCCAGAAACAAAAATTGTACTGCTTTCCAGCTGCTTCTCATTACCCCTGTATGTACATACTAATATGTATATACCTAGGTATGTAAAATCTTTGTCCGTATTTATGATATACAAAAGGCAAAAAAAATGTTAATAAATATATCCTGGGAAATTACAGGAGAACACTTCTAAAATTAATCCTCAGTTAAAATCTCTTCAAGTTTCCAGTAACAGTGCAGTCAATCTCTCCATCCTTCACAAACCAACAATCCTTTAAACACAAAGGAAAAATGGACATATGAAAGAAAGTTTGCACAATTTAAAAAATCCATTAAGACAATATCCTTAATTAATCTGACAAGACTTGTTTAGCTAGTATAAGAAATGTGACACGTCATAACAAGTTAATAATTGTATACCAGGCTGTAAAAAAATTCTCCCAGGAGCGCTTAAAAAACTAAACATAAAGCATAGTGCAGTAGTCTCAACCATCAGCCATAATCCATAAATCTACAGTAAATCAGCAGTTTAATAGTTTCTTACAAAAATACAAAGTACAAATTTTTAGAGTTGATAATTACTATGACATTTGACTTTGAATAGTATCCCTTGGAAACTGTAGTATGCACACACCCCATGCAGCTTGAAGTTATATTTGTGTTTATGCTAAAATACTAATTTATTCATATTTTATAAACATGAGTTTATTTACTGTGTTTATATATTGTAAAATTTATACCTTCATATGTAGCAGCTCCTAAATACCTGAGGGAGTTGTGTTAACATGTAAGCTGACATTTTATTTCTTTTATCAAATTTCAAATCAAACACGAAAAAAAGCTCTCACGTGAGAATGCAATATTGTACTCTATCCGCTGGAGGTCAGCAAACATTGTGCTGTGTAGTTCTGACAGAAAATGTGGTACAGTATTTGCTATATTATAATCCTGTCTGTCTTATTAGGTTTTTTTAATAAATAGTTATGAGAAGACTGGACTTGATATTCAAACTATGAATTCTCATATTGTTTTCCAACAGGTGCATGAAAACTTTGACTTTCAAGATGAGGATGAATCAAATATTCAGGACCAAACTTTCAAAGAATTTCTTTTTGAAGATACTTTTAAATTTCTCTTACCTAATGAATCCTCAACATCCAGTTTCATAGAAGCTTTCCAAAAAATATACAGATCAGCTGTGAGCAAGGTAGTTCATTCCACCTTTTTCTTATTATTAACTATTTGAAAATATTTCATTCCAAATTGTATGCCTTTCTGAAATTGTTGGTGCCAACTTATAGAATGAGGGATTTATTTAATCAAAACTATCTATTACTGAATTCTGGGAAAGTCATGAATAAAACTGTAATTATATTGAACAATCAAATTTTCTTTAATAAAAATTCCACTCTCAAATTATGTCATTCCCCCAAGTACAGTACTTTAAAGATATAGCTAAAACTTTAACAAAGTCATTTCCCCACCTTTTTTTTTTAAATGGTCTTTTTTTAATATTCAGGTTTGTGTGTTTTCATAAACCTAGAACTGATTAACTCAAACAAGTACATTCATGAGCATCAGAATTAAATTTTGTTTCCTACAACTTTGTGTCTTATTTTGAATGCAAGATCCAATTCAATTTTTTGCATTTATAAGGTCTGAATAAAGTTTGCATCACTTGTGAAATCTATTTCTGACAAGCTGGGAACTCCTTTAGCAGTATTTCTCTCAGTCTGGGCACTTATAAAGGGGCATTTCTGAGGAGCCCACTGCTTGCAAGACTTACAGGGATTACATTATCCTTGTGACTTCTGCCTCTCAGGCAGGTGTGACTAAAACAGGATCATGAGTTCTAAATTTATGACAGGATAAAGTAGGAAGCCGCAGACATATACACATGTACGATACAATTACCTAAGTCTGTTTTCCGTAGGAGGCTAGACAACGTTTCAAACTGTCCGCTTCATTGTCTATGCTTCATGCAGTCTCTTCCCGTGGTAGTTTCTTTGGGTTCTTTTCTACACAAAGCTAACGCACAGACTACTGTATTCTAGACTGAGAAATGGGAAGAGTTATCAAGGAGGTGGCTTGATGTGACTTTGGATGAGGTTAGGGCAAGTTGAGAGCTGCTGTAATTTGTCCCTTTGATCACCAAAGGGATTGGGGTCTAGCGAAAGCACTTTGCTTTCCATGTGATTTCACCAGAATATGCTCCCCTTTCCTTCATAGGATGGAACTTACCACAAAGAAGATGAGCAATGTTTGTCTCTAGAAGAGATAAACTCAATGATTACTTTCATAAAGGAGCTGAAGAGTCTTGGACAATTTGAGCTGGTAAAATAAACAGGGGTTTGTTCTATTCGATACATATTTTATGTAATTCTCTTAACATTTCTCCTTCACTATCATTCTTTGCTGTCTCTGGCATATGCATTAGGCTGGATGGACAGGGGAAGTGGGGAGATAGAGGTTACCCTGATTTTATTTTGGAGGATTTGAGGAATTTAAATTAAAAGAGATAAAGAAATAAAACAGAGAATTTGAGCCTAGGATTCATTGAAAAGGACAGCTAAAGCAGAAACAGAGACCAGAAAATAGAATGAAAGGAGAAGGAGGAAAATCATGTTAAAGACTAATGAGTTGGTAAGAAAATAGAATTATAATAAAGCAAAGCAAGTGTGGATGGAAGAACTGGAGACAGCACAACACTGAGATCATGACCGGAGAATATAGATAAAAAAGTGGCAAAAAACCCAAGTTGAATATGTAATATGTCTTCTTCTTCACACTTCAAGTAAGTTCATTTTTGAAGAATAGAGACGGAGGAGTAACAGTCAGTGTCTGTGAATAGGCATGGCAGTTAATGACTATCAGGGAAATAAAAGATCTGCAACTGAATTTGTTGTTCAGAAAGTCTGCACGATTTCTTCTAGACCTCCTGGATGAGTATCAGGGTTGGGGACTGATGAGGCTTTCTGAAGAGGGATTGAGTTGAATATATCTGGAAGTCGAATCAGAGGCAAAGGACTTAGACTTCCATGTCAGTACTAGTAATACTAATTTGCAAGGCTGGGCAAGACAGTCATTTTCTACACCTGTGGGAAAGACAATTAATATAAATCCATCCATATCCTATATATGCTGTCTTCTGATAATTTCTCACTTCTTTGCATTTTACAAATATTATAACATGTAGTCTCTAATCAGTGTCTCTCTTCTCAGCTTTTCCCTTCTGCTGCACCCAAGATTCAAACTTTACTGCGTGACCTTTATCACATGGTAGACCCAATGAGGCGGCTTGGTTCAGTCCTGACTGTGCATTGGTTGCTTTCCAGTTTACTTGAACAATTCCAGTCCATGACTAAAGAAGCACACACAAGTCTTTCAGAATGGTAAGATAGCTATTATATGGAATGTTCAGGAGTAGTTTCTCAAATTATATTAATTGCAATTATATTAATTGAGCACCGTAAAACTTAATCCTTCAGTAGATGTAGGTGGATTTACAGCAGCTGTGATGAAGATCCATCATCCCGTCATGGTGCACTGTCAGCCATTCTACCATTAGAGTTGCAGCTAGGTTTCTACATAGGACAGTTTTACCCATTTCTAATACAGAGGACTCTGGGTTAAAAACTTAATTGAAGCTACAGTAAGTTTTTTTCTAAGAAATATGAAGTGAATTAGGTAGGTTGTTTCTGAACAACTGTAAACTCAAAATTAGGAGTGCTTACCAGGGTTAAGACCATCTTTTAACTTATTCACAAATTAGAAGCAAAACTCTAAAGAAAATACAAAATTTCAGGTGAAGATTTTTCCAAAAGGGACTAATAATTTTGAGTGGCTCTAAATTTTCTGTCCAACAAGAGACAGGTCAAAGAGCACTATACTCTGAGATCCTCATTTTAGCTGTTTTTGAAAAGCTGGAATGACAAGGTTGGATCCATTGAGCTTCTGGCAAGAAATTTTAACTTTCATAAGGAGGGAGGGAGGGAGAAAGGAAGGAAGAGAGGAAGGAAGAAAGAGAAGAAAGAAAAGAGGGGGTAACGAATGAATGGAGGGAAGGAGAAAAGTTCTGGTATACTACAGGTTTAGTATAAAATTTGTAAAAAATATGTTTTCTGTGCTCATTCTGTCCTGGCTAACGACATTTCCTGTATGCCATGCTTCTTTACTGACTCCAGGGATATATTATTTTGCAAACAGAGCTTGGGAATGGAGGCACATTAGAAAATGTGTGTGCTCTTTTCCACTGAGTCTCAAGTAAAATGTGCAAATGACATTATTTTGTATGTTTTGCTTGGACAATGCCATAGTGACTATATAAGGCATCTGTAAGATTCCTTAAGTTTTAATTTTGTTCCTCATTGAATTGGGCGTGGTTTTTAGCAAGTCAATGGTCATCTGTATCTTTGTTTGCTTAGCTATAAAGTGGAGCTTATACTTTACCACTGTGCTAGGTAACTGTTTATTAGTGTTTTGAAAATATACAGTTCCATGAATGTGCTAAGTATTATTGTTGTTACTGCAGGCCACTCCATGAAAAGTAACTCAAAGATGCAGCTGCTTGCATTCATGTGTAAGCCCTTGCCCTTTTGCCAAAATATTTAGGTTTGCATATCAAAGCATACCAACCTTTAGCAGCTTTCTGTTCTAATCTAAGCTGTGCCACTCACTCACTTTGAGCAAGCCTCTTGCCCTCTTTTTTTTCTTTAAGCTGAACATTATTTTATGTGTGTAAATATGTAGAAGTACCATGACCTTTCTCCAGGGCATAGGCCAATCTGCTTCTTTGCACTGTATTTTTCTGCAATGGCTAAGCTAATAACACCATTCTGTTCATTCACTGTGTGAAAAAACATGTGTTTTGACATTGCTAAATCATAATCTTCCACTCCTATAGCTACATGCATGTGATGGTGATGCATGTGTCAGATATGCTTGTAATTATACTTAATTGCAAGGAAGAAAGAGCTTAGTAGAGCTTACTCCCCAAATAACTCAGGTATGCATTTTCTTTGAGCTTTGATTAATCTTTTTTGAGATTCCCAGCTTTGATGAGTTTGTATATCAGAACACTTTTCCTGAATTTCTTCAGTTAAGGCCAGATTGTTCGTTTGATTTATTTAACAGTTCTTATTTTTCTGACTATACAAAATTGGTATTTCCATTTACAAAATCCAGTGATTTGCATAGCTGATTGTCCAACCAGACAAGCATGGATACTTATGGGAAAAATAATGACTTCTGACTTAGGTCTTGTACAGATATGCTGTTCACCGATCATGAATCCATCCATAGGACGGAGACAGGATTTAAAGACGTTTCCTGGTGTACTTTTCTTAGCCCATTTCATCTACATGACTAGTATTGAAACCTTAAATGGTATTAGTGAACTCTCTGAGTTCCTTCCACAGGAGAAGCAAGAAGAATTCTAGAAACTCATCTCAAACTATAATGAAATGGTTACAGCCTAGGTGAGAATGACCATCTCAGGTGTATTGGTATAACATATGACAAAGTTATTTGAAAGTGATGGAGTGGTACTGCCTAACGTGCACTGAAATAAATTTTCTGCATTGTTTGTGCACTGTTTTTCAACTCTATGCAGTTTCAACTTGTATGTGACTAAGACATACATCATTACTGTCTCTTGGAATAAGGGCTGTGTAGTACTGTGGCAAGTATGTTTGGCTGTGTCAGACAGCAGAGTAGCATGGGAGAATCCGATTAGTGAGAAAAGCTAACCCTTTTGTATTTGCGTAAGACAGAAGCCTAAGCAGGTCAATAAAGTCACAAATGCTTTTATGAAATCAACTGATATATTTGGAAAAGTGTTACTAGCTTCTGTTATGCAAGACCTTTGTTAGGTCAAAATAGAAGCAGCAGCCCTCAAACTGAATTTGGGTTGAAAATAATTTCTTGGAGTTTAACTTGGTCATGCTCATCACCTGGGCAGTTTGAGAAACAAACATGGTTCGGACTATGAAGCAGAAGGAGACAACAGCAAGGAAGTCTGGGATCTGCAATGGGAAGACAGAGGGAAGGAGGGAAGGAGAGAGGCAGTTGGGATTAAATGCCAGGAAACCAATCCCACTCTTGAGTGTGCAATTTTCTATTTCTCTTTTGAGGATCAGCACAAGATACTTCATTCGGTGAACCAAATGCCCTCATGGAAACTCTGTGACTAAAGCCAAGCAAACGCTCTACAAAACACAGAGCTCATACTGCCAGTTAATCAAACAGAAAAAAATTGCTAGTGATCATGTTTCACAAAATTACCTCTGGTGGCTCCTCATTTTCAGGAGAGACCTACAAAACATCATCTAAAGAAATAAAATTCATAACTCTACTGAATATTGAAATATGGTCTCAACATTGACTTTATGACCCATTAAAAATTGCACCATCCACAACTAACACATCCACCAGAGGCCCCAAAAGTGACCAGATTTTTTCCTTTTTATGTTTTAATCTTGTGAAAGATATTATATATTTCTATACATCCTTCATTGCTTATGTCTCTGATTGCTTAGACCACCAGAGCTACATTACTATTGCTGCTGTCAATCCTTCCGCTTTTTCGTTTGCTGAATTAGAGAGATTCCTAAAGGACAGGTTCACTGTCAACAGTTTGTGACGTACACAGCGGGGATCTCTCAAAAGGTACATTCACAAACATTCACTTAGGGTACCTGACATATAGTCACTGGTTTCATTAGACCTAATTGCAAAGCATGTAGGCAATGCACACATCTGTGCACGATAGCTCCTCCAAGACACTAGGTAAATAAGGGGCCGCTCATACAGATGAAGGTCCCTTCTTGAGTAACAGCGTGTGAAGGAAGGGACTCTGCAGAGTCCAGGATCTCAGCCACTCCCTGCCTGAGGAAGAGCTTCATAACTGCATCGTTCCTCAGTCCTGCTGGCTACAAGGAGATTGGACAAAGGAAAACTTGATGGTGTTGATGATTAAAAAGTCCAGTCTTCAGCAGAGATAAATACAGTAATCTGAGTATCTTTCTGTAATATCATTTCTAAATATTACATTTTGATACCCTGCTGTAATTAAATGGAGTTACTATATGTCTCTTAATGTTGTCTGATGATAATCGCAATCTCTTTACAGAATTGACATATGCAGGTCATGCAGTTCCTTTGGGAGCTGGGGCCTTGCACTAGTGGTGGCTGCCACACTCCTCATTTTATAGAGTTAAGACATCTTGTTTTCCCCTTACAATAGGATTTGGGACTGGGCAATGCAAAAAAGAACAGTAGAGAGAAAAATCATATTTGACAGGTGTTAGCCATTGCCTCCTTGGCAAGCAGAAAGAGGGGTGCAAAATGACTTGTAACTTGGAAAACAAACTCTCTAATAGTTTGTTAAGTGCCTCCTTTGAAGGAGGTCATGAATGTGCATGAAATTAGGGCAGTGTCTAGACAATGCAAGCTCAAAACTACATGTTCATGCACACACAGACACACACAGATCTGCCAGCTGCTTCTTTCCTTCTATGGAAAACACTGGGAGAAAAACATGTGAAAGCTTCAAGAAATGCTAATGGACCTTTGAAAAGGTCTTATCAGCCAGAGGTCCAGTACATGGATTGGAGAGAAACCTACTGCCTTTCTTCTACTATGCTTCCAAAATGCCATATGAAAGAAAAAATCTGCGGAGTTAGCAATATGGGCACCACTACCATGTTAATGAATTGTTGCAATTGACTTGTCCTTTTTCACTGAAGATTTAGATGTATACTCTGGATGTTGATCTTGTGATTTGTTTTGAATTAGCAAATAAATCAAAACACATAGATCATAGAATTATAGAATCATTAAGGTTGGAAAAGACCTCTAAGATCATCAAGTCCAACCGTTAACCCAACACCACCATGCCCACTAAACCATGTCCCTAAGCGCCTCATCTACATGTCTTTTAAATCCTTCCAGGGATGGTGACTCCACCACTTCCCTGGGCAGCCTGTTCCAAGGCCTGACCACTCCTTCAGTAAAGAAGTTTTTCCTAATGTCCAGTCTAAACGTCCCTTGGCACAACTTGAGGCCATTTCCTCTCGTCCTATCGCTTGTTACTTGGGAGAAGAGACCGACCCCCACCTCGCTACAACCTCCTTTCAGGTAGTTGCAGAGCGCGATGAGGTCTCCCCTCAGCCTACTCTTCTCCAGCCTAAACAGTCCCAGTTCCCTCAGCCACTCCTCATAAGACTTGTTCTCCAGACCCTTCACCAGCTTCGTTGCCCTTCTCTGGACACGCTCCAGCACCTCAATGTCCTTCTTGTAGTGAGGGGCCCAAAACTGAACACAGTATTCGAGGTGGGGCCTCACCAGGGCCGAGTACAGGGGCACGATCACCTCCCTACTCCTGCTGTCCACACTATTTCTGATACAGGCCAGGACGCCATTGGCCTTCTTGGCCACCTGGGCACACTGCCGGCTCATGTTCCATTATATGAATTCATGTTAACGTTGGTACAGATATTTCACCTTGACACAGGCCTTCATTTATATTATTTCTTTCTCGAACAAAGTCTAATTTTAACCTCAAATATATACAAAAAAGCATCATACAAACAGTTAAGAGATATGGTTTGGGTTTTTTTATTCTTGGCTATATCCACTCTTCCTTTTCCTAGCAATCCAACTATGTTTTGAAATTTATTTCTGGTTTTCTTTTTTCATGTTATATGCTACCGTTTATTATGGAGTGTGTGTTTTCTGTCACGTTCATTCAGGTAATATTGCTAATGCTGGGAACGTGAATCCAGAAGGTTCATCTTTCCATGGAGAATATTAAAATATCATGTGCCCTGCGTTGCCATATAGAAACTTTTGAAAAATGTTCCATGGTTTCTGTTCCTTCCATTCATGTAGAAATATGTCTGCTATTGAATTGACAGGAATTCTTCTCAAGAAAATGTGAGTCCTAAGCAGAATGTTCCTTCTGACTTCAGGAAGAATCATGAAGGTAAGGGATCAGAGTAAGGTCTTTTATATACGGTATGTTTTTCCTATTTGTACTACTTCCGATAACATGTATGATTTAGATTACACTGGTTTGCATTCCAGCTGGAAGGTCTTGGCTTACTACATATAAAAGACCAATTTCTTCCTTATGTGTGCAAGTTGTTCTGCTGAGTCCACGAGCAGTGTTCATGATCTTAAAGCAAAGATCTCACACTGAAAAGAATAAAAGTACACTGTATTTTTTATAATTAACACAATGAGAGTTCATTCTCCTATAGGATTGTGAATCAGAGCAGAAAATTATTAATTGTTTCTGTTTATCTTTCAGCATTTTATTATTCCAGTAAGACTAAAGAAAGACAATGCAGTTATGGTAAGTCAAGGTCTTTCTAGACCACTAAGGGGAAAGAAGAGAGATTACTTGAACAAATTTCTTGGGTTTTTCTGCATAGCCTTTCAGTGGACGGAGTGCCTGCGGGTTGTTATGTGAAAAAAAAAAAAGTAGCAAGAATGTTTATGAGTCACTCAATAATTGGGCTATTATGTAAAATAATAAAGGTAAACATTGCTGTGAGTGCATATTAATGTGGGTATTCCAGCACTCGTTGATCCCTTGCCGCACTTCAGTAGACTTTTGCCCCTTATTTCCAAGAACTTTAGCATACATTTGTTCTTGTGGAATAACCTTTAAACTTGTATGGACTTTAATCAGCCTTGTATAAGGCCAGTCTTCAGCTCAATGATGGAATTTTAAAGAGCTGCTTAAGAGATGAAGAGTTTTTCTACCTGTTTGTAGGAATATTTAAAGTATATTTAAAGATATGTAAAGATTTAAAGTATATTTGGCTTTGGTGGGAGCAATATTTTCTGCTGCCTTCCTCATTGACACATTATCTGAGGGGTCACTTTATAAACGTGAAACAATTGCTCTGTGGCAGAAAGGCTTTTCTACCCATTGAGCCTCATAACCCTCTGTTACTGATCTCATGGTGCCTCCAGGAACTCCTCTGTGTCAGTCAGAGGCCAGAAATGCTCCTGGGCTGGCTGACTGGCATCACCATTCTGACTGCATGATGTTTTATTTTGATATTACCTCAATTAATTTTATTTTGAAAATTCCTCCTCTTTTAAGTTTTTAGTGAGATAACCTTTCTAGGTAAGACATACAGGATCTGGACAACTGTTTATACTCATCTGTAGGATCTTTTTAAATAACCTTCTGTGTGTCCACTTATAAGCCTCTATTCCCCTACAAATCTAGCCCAAATTCTGCTCTTCCACTGGAATAACTTCCTTTACATTTTAATCCATGCAAGAGAGTGCTGAAATTGCCCTGTTTTGTTTCTCAAGGCAGATATTTCAAGGTAGAAAAGGCCCACATAGAACTGCTTGCATCCTTTATGACCCTTTTAAGCCATGTTTTAAACCACAAGATTTTTCAGATGTTATAGTAAAAGAGTATTTTCTGAAGTACGCAGTTTTAAACACATGCTAGAGAATATACGTGGAAAGCAAGTTCTGAATACGTAATTATACTGTAAATCTGAATCCAATAGGTTGGATTAAAATATTTGTCATAAGTGGGTTGCCAGCAAATAATTATTCTCATGAGTCATTTGGCAAACACTACAAAATAAAGGATACATTTGAGCAAATAGGATTTGACTGTGGAGATTTCATACACAGAGAAGGAGCTGGAATTTGTTGATTTAGGAATTTTAATAAAACATTCTTCCAGCTGTACTGCAAATGACCCCATGGGTCTAGATATCTCCATGTGACTTGTTCTTATGAACAGTAAGGGTATGTCTAACTTATTTTGATTTTTATTGGCAATTACACATGTACATAAACCCTGTACACAGGCTGGTACCTAAGTAGGTTATGAATTTTGGCCTAACTCTTCTTTAAGTTTCAGTTAACCAACTGGAGACAGGATCTCCCAGACTTAATCCTTGCATTTTCAAAGGCTTAATTCAGACTTTGAGTTTTGTGACTCTGACTAGAGTCATTGGGCACTGAGTGATTAAAATCCCTACAGGGTCTAAAAATTTATCTCAAGTGCCAATTCAAACTCCATTAAGACCTTGCAGCAGGATTATCAGTCTCAGAGTGACCAGCCATTAAAAATCTTGCCACTGTACATGTTATCAATCTGCCAGAAGTTGGACGTTACTTAAAAATGTTCATACATTTCACAGTTTTTTCTTTGATGCCTTCTTGGAACAGATAAAGATACCCTATCTCATATCAGGCAGATCTTCACCAGTCCACAGCTGGACTTGAATCCTCAGTTTAACCCAAAGATCAAAGAATACTACACAGAAGTCCCATTCGACATGGTAACTGTGAAGATAGGAGCAGAACCCTCTAACTGTCAATGCCAAGTACATCTTGACGAGAAGAAAGGGCCAAGGTATGAATGACAAAATATGAGTGTAAAAACTAAAAGTGTCCTTAATTTTGGAAATATGTCAGAATATTGCAGAATTGTTTTGTGTTTCCAAAAGCACAGAATGCCTAGAGATTAGTCACAGGGAAATCAGAGGGAGTTCAACAATGAGACATTAGTTTTTATTTGTCAATGTCCTGAAGGCAATGGTAATATGTTCTCAAGCCATAATTAACCCTAGCTTTTCGGAGTGCACAGTTGCTAGCATCTGCCCCAGCTTCTCCAGTCACTGACAGCATCAAAGCTGGGTAGGAACAGACCATCGTTACACTGCACACAGTGGACAGCAAAGAATTTGAGCTTTCATATCCAGGCCTTGATTTTGCACTGCGACCTAAGCTACTGCCCCGCTGGGCTTGGTCCGTCAGCCAGCAGTCTGCTTACGTGGGTCAGAGTAGGGCAGCTGGGTTCAAAAGAAGAAATAAGTTCAAGTTTACTCATTCACAATGATCCATTTTCATCAGAATTATATTATAAAGGATTATCATAGAATCATAGAATCATTTAGGTTGGAAAAAACCCTTAAGACCATTGAATCTAACTGTTAACCTAACACTGCCCAGTCCACCACTTAAACCATGTCCCTAAGCGCCACATCTTTTAAATACCTCCAGGGATGGTGACTCAACTACTTCCCTGGGCAGCCTGTTCCAATGCTTGATAACCCTTTCAGTGAAGAAATTTTTCCTAATATCCAACTTAAACCTCCCCGGCACAACTAGAGGCCATTTCCTCTTGTCCTATCACTTGTTACTTGGGAAAAGAGACCAACACCCACCTCGCTACAACCTCCTTTCAGGTAGTTGTAGAGAGTGATAAGGTCTCCCCTCAGCCTCCTTTTCTCCAGACTAAACAGTCCCAGTTACCTCAGCCACTCCTCATAAGACTTGATCTCCAGACCCTTCATCACCTTCATTGCCCTTCTCTGGACATGGTCCAGCACCTCAATGTCCTTCTTGTAGTGAAGGGCCCAAAACTGAACACAGGATTCGAGGTGCGGCCTCACC